TGTGTGTGTATGTGTGTTTGTTTGCATGAATGAATTAGGATTTAAAGTATCAGGCCCAAGACAGCTTCATGATGATGGATGATGCTGTGCTGTGTATGTGCTTCAGTCAGGATACAGATCTACTGGCAACTGGAGCTCAGAATGGGAAAATAAAGGTTGGATCTTATAATACTGCCTTACAATACTGTTTAATTTAATCTTGTTATCACTGTATGTTAATATAGTGAAATATGGGAGAATTATGTCGTGTTATCAGCTGAGATAATACTCTTGTTCAAGGATTAGTCTTGAATCTTCTCTCCCAAAAATGTGTGTGTTGTGCCGAAAAGGTGTGGAAGATCCAGAGTGGCTTGTGTCTGCGAAGGTTTGAGCATGCCCACAACAAAGGTGTGACCTGCCTGAGCTTCTCCAAGGACAGCAACCAGATCCTTAGTGCCTCCTTTAACCAGACCATCAGGTGGGATGTACCATGCTTTCTGTGCAGTGAACACAATGCAGACACATATGTTATCTAATACGGACCATAGCATCTTCAGAAATGTCTGTTTTCATGGCTGAGACACTGACTCTGACTGATATCCATAGTAGTAACATTGTCATATAATATGATTCATATAACATTACTCACATCAGCTAGGAGGTCTTAAAGAGCATCGCAAATGGTTAATTACATGACATTGAATTGGAGAGGAAACAGGGAGATTAAATGAAAAAGGTCAATATATACATAAATGTTTCATATTAAATAGATATATAAATGGTAAAAAATTAATTAAATGTTATGAACAAGTCAATTATATGATACATATAAATACATACATAAATAAATACCTAATACAGTAAATTACAATTTTAGTTTTTAAAAGGGAAGTAAATACCTGAATTCACAAATGATGTACCAATCGTTTTAAAATAGAAACAAACAACATGGTGGGAGCCTTGTTATGGCAAAACTTTGTTTGTCTACTGTGGGAGGAAGTGAGGGCTCTCCCTGACCTCAGACATGATTCACAAAAGTTTCAAAATGCATACATGAATGTGAGTTCAGCTGGAAGGCAGGTAGCAACCCACATTGGATTAGCAGAATGCTGCCACAGTAATGCATATAAATGATAACAGAACTGACCAAAACTGAATATAGCCATGCAATACAGAGTTAGCTAGTTAGAAACTGTGGACACATTTAATGGAATTCAGTTGTATATTTGTTGAATTTTTAATATCCTGTTATTTATTTGGGCATCAGTTCTATTTCCTATGCTTTTAAATAATTATAATTCCATGCAGATGTCAGACATCACATGTTGCTTGCCTGAGTCGTGCACCTGAATGTAAATATGCTGGGGGAAGGACGTTTATCTTTCACTTCCTCTCTCTCTCTCTCACATACACACACAGACACACACACACTGAAACCCCTTCATAGTTGAGGAGTTGAATATCTATTTCTGACTCCTGGGGGGTGTGAGCTGAGCCTCACCGCTGTGTTGGAAGCACATGTGCTGTGTGGGTGTAACTGAGTGAGACCATGTGCTCGGGCACAAAGCTGCAACGTGTTCCTTCCCTTGCAATTCCACGAGCTGGGAGTCTGACTCGTTTACATTCGCAAAATCCTCACAGAGACGCAGTGAATCAGTGAGCATTAGACGTTTTGTCATGGTTTGGCTAATCTGCACCCAGTCACTCCACAGAGCTAAAAATAACTCATCGGCTGCTCAGCAACATGTTTGTCTGCTTTCAAGAAAAATCCCCCCTTGAGTTGAATAAAAACATGGTTTGTTAATGAGTGAGAGCTGCTGTTTTATTTAATTTAGTATTTCCTAACAGCTTTTATGTCTGCCATTTTCAGAATCCACGAATTGAGGTCAGGAAAGACACTAAAGGAGTTAAACGGCCATTCATCGTTTGTAAATGATGCATCTTTCACTGAGGATGGATTTCACATCATCAGTGGCTCATCTGATGGAACAGTTAAGGTACAATAAGTAAATTATATTACTATAATTCATGTATTTCTTGTGCTGAATCAGTATTATTATGTAGCAGGAACAGTGCTGTAATATTGTGATATTTGTCACTCAGTGGATTTATTCATATTTTAGATTTGGAACACAAAAACCTGCGAATGCATCCACACTTTCAAATCTCTGTCCCGGACATCGGAGGTCCCCGTCAACAATGTGATTCCTCTACCCCAAAATCCCGAGCACTTTGTGATTTGTAACCACTCCAACACAGTGGTCATCATGAACATGCACGGTCAGGTGAGAGCTCTATGAAATATAATCTATTCATGATCAATATTCATATCTAATGAACAAGAGGTACTTTCATAACAAGATTGATTGTATTTACAGAATACTGCCATATTTGTTTAATCCATATATATATTGTTAATATTTTTTGTTAAAAACCTAAATTAACTAGTGTACAGCCATGCTAGCAGCTCTGTGAGGCTGTACTGTCGCAAAGCGATGCTTTTTAGATAAATGTTGGTAACATGCTCATATTTAGTGGATATAATGTTTACCATGTCCACCATCTTAGTTTAGAGTGTTGGCATGGTAACATTTGCAAATTAGTGCCAAAAACAAGTATAACCTAGGCTGATTGGAAGGTCTTTAGTTTTGTAGATATCTGGTCAAAAAACAAATAAAAATTTAGACCTGATGATGGCACTAGAGGGAAAGTCAGAGGATAACCAGATGATGAGTTCATGAGAGGTCTGCAGCAAATTTCATGGCAATACATTGCGTAGTTGTTTAAACATTTTACATAAAAACCTAAAATGTCACCTGTACAGTGGTGCTAGAAATGGTAAATGGACTGTACTTCTATAACACCTTTCTAGTCTTCTGACCACTCAAAGTTACATTTAGCGGGAGGAGCCAGGGATCAAACCACCGACCTTCTCATTAGTAGACAACCTGCTCTACTTCCTGAGCCACAACCACCCACAAAATAGGGCTTCAATAAGACTGTGGGATTCATCCTCTGTGGACCATGATTGTACAAAATGTCAATCCATCCAATAGCTAAAGGGATATTTCAGTCTGGACGAGTCTGACTGATCGAATAATTGCCATCACTAGCAACGCTGCCAGCTAATAAAAAGCGAACACATTTGAAAATTTCCTGAACATTCTGCTAATACACACACACAATACCTGAGCATGTCTTCTCCTCTTCCTCCTCAGACCATGAAGACTTTCAGCTCAGATAAAAAGGAAGGAGCCAACTTTGTGTGTTGTACCCTGTCACCCCGCGGGGAGTGGATTTACTGTGTGGGAGAAGACTTAGTGCTGTACTGCTTCAACTATACAACAGGAAGGCTGCAGAAAACGCTGACCGTAAGCTCTACTCCTAATATTCGCTCATTATCAAAGTCTGTGAGAGGTGGCAGTACATCCACACTCGTGTGAAATGTGATTTGTTTAAAAAAAAAAAAAAAAACTGGACTGTCTGTGTTTTTTATCTAGTTATTTTTTGTTTCACTTGACACTCTGATTATGTCACTGCTGCTGTGGAACAATCCTACTGGATGGCTAGCAAGGGAACAGTAAAGTTGATGGGAAATGGAGAATGTATGCTGATCTGTGTTCGTCTGCGCCCACAGGTTCACGAGAAAGAGGTAATTGGCATCGCTCACCACCCACATGAGAATCTGATTGCCACATACAGCGAGGACGGCCTCCTAAGGCTATGGAAGCCTTAAACTTCATCCTAATACGGAGGACCCAGAGAGCCTTACGTGTGGTTATAAAGCAATTCATTCATTTCTATGTAATAAAAAAGAGATGGGTTAATACAACTTTACAAATGGATACATTAAGCCATCAGTTAACGATAAACCAGTTAATTGATTAAGAGAACGATCTCACCACAAGGTCCATTAAGTAGCTTTAGTTCATGATCTTCATCGGCAGATAGATTTTTCCAGTTGTCATGGAATTGTGTTGGTTTTTTTTCCTTGTGCACTTTAAGGTTTTCTTGTCAATGGTGTAGAAAACTGCAGTTTAGAATAACAACTGATTACAACAGTCAGTGTTAAGAAGAATAAATAAGAATTCACTTGAGAAGAATAAACTTGGACCTCAGCAATCGATATTTTTAAATGAACTTATGTATTATGTAATTCCTGCCAATCATTTCAATATGTCAACAGGTAAAGGTGATAGCCAATGCAAGTGTTTGTTATATAAAGGAACTGTCAATATTTTATATTTTCTTATTAATCCCATGAGAAGACCACATAATTGACTTTGCTGAAGATGTAAATCTTCACTTTGGTCACAAACCAATATATAGTTTTATTTTCTTTTTGAGAAAAAGGTAAACAACTTGCTAAAAGGTCTGGGCATTGCAGTTTTTACTGAATGTTGGTACTTGTTGGTACTTGTATTATACCAAAACCAATACTTGCAGTATTGGTTTTGGTATAATACACACATATTTGTAAATTCATTATCTATTTTTTAATATTTGTTTTATTTAATTAGTGATTAACTTTCTTTGCTTTATGAACTTCTGTAGGACTTTCTAGGTCCTCCATACTGTACACGCACTTCCTCATGGATTCACCAGTGCAGTTTGAATCCCCATTTTCATCTCTTCTGTCTTTATTAGACATGAAAATGCATGATGGTAAACTGTCGTGAAAATATTTATAATAAAAATGGCCTCTTGTTTGGGCATAAACAAACAATATCAGGTATATCATTTGTCAGCTTTGGTTTATAATAATACTTTTGTATCTTTGATTGAATGATTATGGTTCAAATGTTTAATGATTTGTTTTGTCCTGTATGTCCCCTGCATGCTACCTCAGTACACTGTCTAAATGTGGCTCTACAATAATTTTAGTACTCCTTAAGAATATGCATGGTGACTAAAGACAAACCTCAGTTGAGCTCCAGTGACATTCTGTATACTCTGTGTGTATATAATAAATGTACTTTATTGTAAGTTTGTTGCATTGACCGTAGTCAGTGTTCCTGTGCATCAGTAGGACGTGTATGCCTGCAAGAAACAGAACTACTGCCTCGACCAGTATTTATTATTTGTACTATGCGGGACTGTCACATGTCCCTGATCATCCATATATCACCGTTGCGAAATAATGTCATCACACTCTATTTTGTATATTCATAATGTTATATATATATATATATATATATATTATTGCCAATCATGTCAAAAATGATTATCAATACAATTTAAAAACCCTTTACAGTTGCCAGTGTTGTGCGTCATTATAAAAAATAAAAATACAAAAAAATTCATGTTTCAGTTGTAAAGAGATTTAAAAAAGTATAAAATCAAAGAAAAGAATATTCTTACACCAGAATATTTTAATTTGGGGCAAGAATTATTAAAAACTGTTCAAAGGCACCTAGTTATAAAGCCTGATATTTCCAAATTTAATGTCCATTCTGGGCTACTGTAGAAACATGGTGGTTCAACAAGGCGAATGCTTCTAGATTCTAAAGTAACGAAACAAGCTTCTTATTTTCAGGTGATTATACACTAACAAAAACATACCTATGAATATTATATTGCATTTCTATAATAAATCCTCCTGTTACACACTGGACCTTTAAGGGAATCAATTTTATCTTGGTAAAAAAAAAAATACTACAACTATAAAATGACGACTGTAGTAGAAAAAGTAGAGGTTGTTGCAGTTTTAAGCTTTTGTTTTTACTTTAAAACCATCATCAGGATCTAAAAAAAAAAGTTCTACTCTAAAACTCTACTCCTTAACGTTTTATCAAAAATATCACTCACACATAGTAATACCACAATCCAGAGAGACCATTAAACTGAATTTAATTAGAAAACATGAGCATAAACAAGTAGATCATTGGTCCTAACACACATACAGTAAAATTTAAGAACATGAAGACAATTAAGCTGAGTTCCCCTGACATTATGAGTACTCGTATAAATTTGCATCTGTTTCAAGAACAATTGTGAAACAATTTAATTAATCTCCCTTCTGGTGAGCATAGTTGTGTTTTTACAATATCCAAGGCAAAGTCACCACTGAAAGAAAAAAAAAACTGCATTATCATGTAGCTTCAAGTTAAGTTATGATAAGGCTTTGAAACAGGCAGACACTTCAATGAGGTATCAGATGTGCCGATTTTAAGTCCCTCCATAACCTCCCACCGACCCATTTGGCATTTAAAATTCGGACTAGAAATATGACAAAAGACACACATAATAGCTTGTGGGCCAACAGGAGAAAAAAGCCATCAAATACTCTAAACTGCTAGTATGATTAAAATTTGTCATTTAAGTTCCAAATTTACATAACTGAACTCTTCACTTTCTAATGATTAAAAAATCGTATACCCAAAATAATCTCAAGAACATTCGACTTCTAAACAAACCAAGACATGAGCCATTCTTCTTTGTACAACTTGGGTGCCACTTGGCACTGTTTAAAGAGAGGGAAAACATTTGCCATTAAGGCATTATGGGCCTGTTACAAGAAGAAAGTTTACAGAGTTATCAGGCAACTTTAAGCACATAAAATATGGAATATAGAATCATGTTAAAATTTGCCTTCTTAGCTTCAGTGCTCGGACACCCTCCCAGATCTGTTAATTGTTTGAAAAAATAAAGTGACTTACTCATCTTTGACCTTTTGTTTCTGAATACCTACCCCCTCCATTAACTGCAGACATATTTGGCTCATATCAAACTGTGTTGTATACACACACACACACAAATGTTCCGCTTTCCACACAAGGTTTCCAAAACAAAAACAAATGTGCCGCATCGCCACAGACGAATGACTGCAGCTCGAAAGTACAAACATTAAATGGAATTTAAATATCAGTTGGAATAATGCAGAATTGAATGGCCTGAACCTACATACTGCAAAGCCTGAATCATTATTACCTTTACACCCAACTCATATCTTCTTGTCACATTTTCAAGATTGTTTACAAATGTCTAGAAAATAGCCCTTGAAAGGGTAAAACAGCACAAAAGTTTGAACTCAAGTCTCCATGCACATCCCTCTCCGCCACCGTCTGAAGATTGAGTCTTCACACACACACACACACGAGATTGAACAAGTCATCAACAAGTGGTTTACAACAACTGATTTAGTAACACTTTAAAAAAAGGTTATTTTCATATTAGTATTGGCATCCGCTTTAGTGTAACTGCATGACAAGCTGGCAGTCTTTGTTTAAACAAGTACGTTTTTCTTTCTTCTGAAGCCCCTGTAATATCAGTCCTCGACTCTAATCACAGTGTGACTGGGAAAAAACAAAACAAACAAAAACAAAAAACGTCCCAGAGATGACAAGGAATCCTGTTCACCCAGATCTGAGTGTAGTCTTGTGACTGTAAGATACTCTACTCCATCCAAAAAGTATTCTAATAAATCATGAGGGTGTTGGGACACAGCTTTATGCATCAGCCTGAAAGAAAACTTCAACAAGTGAACAGTTACGATTTTTAAGAGAAGTAATTAAATAAAAAGTGCACAAAAAAATCCCAAAAGGTGCCTTGCTTTAGAGATGAGGGTGCGGGCTTGTGGCATAAGAACAGGCCAGTTGTTATTTAAGATGTCTGGCACTGAACGCCTCCAGTGCAGTCGTCTTCATCCATGTAGTAGTACTGATGGTTGCGTCTTTTTCTGTTCTCCAAGTCACAGTCCTCCAGGTCGGCGTAGATGTAGAGGTCATCGTCCATACTCTCCGGCTGCTCTGCATCCAGCTTTTCGGGGAGGTAGCGCTCCAGCTCCTTCAGCTTCGGATTGGGCAGGAAATTGGCTTGTGGGAAGACCACCTACAGGGAGCAACCGTAAACTATTTGCTTACAACAACCATGTAACCATTCGGCACTGTCAGTTTTATATTTTGTGGTTCATGTGTAAAACCGCTGACTTCTCTTTGCTGTTCGTTGGTATTTCATTGGTGAACCAAGACTAAACATAACAGGTGATTTAACATAGGACAGATGTGATAGACAAGACAGTGTGACAAGCTTTACATTATGAAGACTTGCACAGAGAATGCGGTAAAAGCGCAAGATGGGGTTTGCAGATAGTCATGTATGGGCATTGTGTGTGTGTGTGTGCGTGTGACTAAAAATAAAATAGATAAATAAAAGGGGAGATCGATTAAAAAGTGGACATTAAAAAAACTTCTTACCGAGAAATTAATAATAAGGCGTCCCTTCTCAAACGGTCTGCGATGCATGGGCATCCCCTCATTTAAGACGCACTTGGTGTCTCCAGGTTTGATTAATGTCCCTGTGATTAAAAAACAAACATGAGTCACATTTAGCATTAAAAACTGAAAACATGAAAACTATAGTCTACATCCGGTTGTCATTTGAAATAATCTTGCCAATGCCTGATGAATTTATGTATTCTTAATTAAAGTAACTGAGCTGAGTAAGAATGAGTTTGTGGTTTATTTTTGGGAGTTTTATGGTAAAGGGTGGGTGTTGGGCTGCCTACACTGATAGAGAAGTACAAGCTTTAGTACAGAGAGGCATTTGATGATTTGATTTTTACATTTAAAACAGATGCTTTATTCTTTTATATACACTGGTCATTTCCAATAATGGGAAAGCTTATCCCTTAACTCAGTGATATTCAATATAATCATACAATAACAACAACAACTATAAAGAGCACACTTTTAGGCATTAAGTCTGATCGCCAACTAAACATCTGGCAATTTAAGAGCTTTGTATTTAAAGACATGGTCACCTGGACTTGAGGTGATGAGGAGAGTTCTGTTGTCCAGTGTCTGAACAGGCTTCTTGAAACCACACAAAGCCTCAACTAGCTGCAACTCCATTGACATGATCAGGTCCTCTCCTTTCCTGATGACAACAATTTGTGGAGAAAAAAGCAGAGGTGATTTTACTGGGTTGACTGTGATTGGGAGTGTGCTGCTATGTATCACAGGGTAGCATGCCAACTACTACGATGAATAGTGGGTGGATTTAATAAAAAGGTAACTCGTCTAATTTAAATTTAATCATGTTCCACTCCAAACAGGATGCAATGTCAAGTGGGACTTTTGAGTAATAATATTTTTTACTGACCTCTACAGACCAGAATTGATGCTTCTACTTTGCAGGGAAGCACCAACTCCCTCACTATTTACTTGGTGGTACTAGGTGGACTTTCTGTTTAACTTTGTATTCTTAATTTAATTTATAGCTCTAATATCAATTGATACAGACAGTGAATTGTATTTGGCATCAGAATGAAGTGTATTCCTTAAAAACATATTTTTTAAAAAAAGACAGTAAGTGAAGAAAACAATATTTATTTCTTGTTACCTTGTGAACTAGAAATATGACCTGTTTTGTGAGGAGCAGCACCCGGGCAGTTTTTGTCCACGTTTTCCTTTAATGTTTTTTTAATCTTTTATCTTTTATTAATCTACAAATAAAAGCCTGCTTATTTTTCCAGCACACCTCCCTTCCAGCACATTTCACCATGCTACCTTGCACCTATTATCCTCAAAAGAATAATATCATGTATCTGATATAATTACATGAGAAATAAAAGACACTTGTCAACAGGGAATATATTACCTGGTGAATTGTGGATGTTCTCGCTGGTCCAAGACAATAATGATATCACCTGGTTCAATTCCTGGCTCCTGGTCTCCCTCTCCATGGAAAACGATCTTCTGGCCATCTCTCATTCCTGTGGAAGTTTAGTGAACAGGTGATGGATGTGCAATATTTGGTTTTCTGGCTCAGTCTTCTGTCAGTCACTGTTGCATTTAGATAAACTCTCCCTCATCTCTCACCTTTGTCAATGTGGACCTCCAAAATCTTCTTCTGCCGCAGGATCTTTCGACCCCCACATGCTTTGCAGCGGTCCTTGTGGCTGATTCGCTGTCCTTGGCCCTGACAGCTGTGGCACACTGTGGACACTTGCTGGACCATACCTGGTAAGAGTTGGTGCATGTGAACCTGCATGCCCGTGCCATGGCAAGTCATGCACACCTGTGCGGCTCCTTTCCGACTCCCACGACCTGCCAAAAAATAAATAAACTGTCAGCACACTGGATAACAAAGATGAAGGCTATTTTTGTTTTAGGTTTATATAAAGCTTTGGTGACCTGGTGAGCAAGGCCTGGATTACATTTACAAGACTGACTTGCTTTGTTATCGGACAAAGAGCCTTATCATGGCCTGTGTGTGCTGAAAAGCCTGCTCAGATTACTTGACAAGTTCAGTGATGGATGCTAACAAGGCCGTGTAAAAAGTAACTCGCATAGCAAAAGACGTACCTTCACATCTCTCACAAATAGTATTCTTCTGGAGAGCAAGTTTCCTTGTAGCTCCGTTATAAAGATCTTCCAGTGTCACTGAAATCTGATGAACAATGTTCTTGCCTGAGGGGAAAACAAATCACAGACTTTAGCAATGCTGTTTCTTGGAATAAAGTTGGCAATTGATAAAACTTCATCAATACACACTCCTTTTTTTGGTTCCTTAGCATCCGTTTCTTTTCATATTGCATACTACACGTGCTGAAATAAACAAGCCTATTTCTGCTACTGATCATAAACTACAAATAATAAATAATGGAAGATGACACTCATCTACAGATGGGGTGCAGTTGTGATAATGTAATTCCTTACAAACAAAAATGGATTCAAGATACATTCTTGTTTTGTTCCCTTTAAAAGAACAGCTGCAGGGAAAAAAGGAAAAGTGCTTGTGTCAAACGTGTTCCAATGTAGAGCTTATAGCCCACTGTGTACAGGAAGCTTGAGTTTGATACCAATGTTGATATTTGAGAGTTTAAAAAAAATCAAATGATATATTGGCCAGTACTCATTTTATTTTTACAGCCCATAAATAAACATTTTGGAACTAATCTTGGATAAGGTTCCTAAAACAATTTCCCCTTTTTTTTTTAACAATTGCAACCAATAAATGTATTGTGCAAGACAAAGTTGAAAAAGAAACTTGTCTTTGGTGAACAAAAGACAAACAGAATGATGATGGCCTTTCTGTACCTTAATTTCTTGTCATTTATTGCCTGACACATGCTGATAACAATATACTGTCACTGAACTATTGCTAATAATTTATCTAAAAGAGCTGTGATAATTAATCAATTGAAAGAAAATGAATAGCACTACTTTGATAACCGGTTAACTGTCAATCATTTACAAGCAAAAATGTTAAACATTTGATGACTCTATGTTCCCAAAAGTGAGAATTTGCAGATTTTCTTGGTCTTACATAACAGTAAATTGACTGTTCAAGTGTTCAACACTGCAATTTCCTCCTCAAAGAACTGGCTCTGGCTATTTATATAACTCGATCATATCGCAAAACTTTCAAACCAGAAATACAGACACTTTACAAACTTCAAACATCAGCTCAGCTTAGTGATTATTTCACTAATATTTCCTCCCGTACCTTTTCGCTCTCTGTGCATCCGACTGCCCCCACCAAAAAACAAGTCAAAGATGTCCATTGGCGATGCACAGCCGCCGCCGCCGCCGCCAGTCCCTCCTTCCTTTATAGCCTTTTCACCTCCACGGTCATAAAGGTCTCTCTTCTTGGCATCTGACAACACCTCATATGCCTGTGAGATCTGCTTGAACTAGAAAAGAAACAACAACATACTTCTTTGAAGGGGGCCAAGAAACATTTTGGCAATATACAGCTGCTTCAAACAAATTCAGCTCTTTGACAGTGTGTGAAAAATAACAACAGAGGTCTCCAAATACTACTCTTATACTTTTATATGGCAGATTTAACAAAAACTACTCATACCCTGTTTCATCTGACTCATTAGATCAATGAATTTCACAGTATCTGACATCCAGATTGATTTTTCACATTAATAAAGCTGTATTTACAGTATTGAAATATATATTTTTCAGTATACATTTGCCATTTCTATGCAAGAAATAGCTGCTAATGTTAATGTTTAGGAGTGTACTAAAAGACACTTACCTTCTCTCCCTCTGTAGGGTTTTTGTCGGGGTGATATTTCAAAGCTAGTTTGCGATAGGCCCTTTTCAGTTCGTCAGGAGTAGCATTAGGTTTCACACCCAATGTGTTATAGAAGCCCATTTCTTTTACCATCTTTGTCTTTAACGAATAACCTTGAAAAAGTAAAAAGGAAGGTAAAACACATGAGTGCTTGGATATTCAGTTACTTAAACGTATTCCAAACTTTACAAAAAAAAACACAGCATTACTAGAATGACCTCGCCTAGCAATATGAAGCTTCTAAACGTAGAACAGAAAACGTGGTAAGAATTTGAATGAAGTGGTATATGTTGCTACGTCAATATGTCGTTGTGACAAGAGGAACGGGCTTCCTTTTATAAACGCAAAAACAAAGCATATCAATGTATGCCTGTATGAAAATGTCTCACTGGTCTTGTGTATATATGCTCACCTACAGTATGTATGAGAAGTGCACTACAGTGACGCACAATGACACCATGAGGATGCTTTTGTAGTGCTAAAACTTTGTTGGATTCTGATGTGTTTTTCAAATCCTATTTCTTTCTTCATGACTGTTTTTTTTCACAGCAATTCTTCCTACGAGTTAATCTGGAACTCACGAAACAAGTCTGTTCCCTCCACAGTATGGAGATTATATGGAAATCACGCTCTCATTGCCCTCCTCCCCTCATTGTTAAAACGTTGACAGAGAACCGAAACTGAAATCACTGTCAATGAACAGAAACTATCGGTGATGAAAAGATCACAAGCTTGTAAATTAAAAGCACATCAGAATAAAATAATATGACTGCAGGTGTTTGGCCTAAAAATTAACAAGTGTGTTACATGAATAGTAATTAATAGGAAGCTTTGATGTGTTTAATACCTGTATTTTATTATTAGAGTATTGAAAGTACTCTTTTTTTTGTTACATTTATTACATATGTATTACTGGATTTCATTCCTGATTCATTACTGTCTAAGCAGCATCTGAATGTTGTCAAGATGATGGCTAATTTTAACAACTGTATACTGTTGGGTACTTTCAACTAGAAGAATGCTACTGGTCATATGTTGGAGTTATACAATTTGATCTGTAAAGTAACTAGTAATAACTATTACTGTCAGATAAATGTAGATAGTATCACCTTCTGAAATGTAGTGGAGTAAACGTGTAAATAAAGCCCCTTAAATTTCTACTCGGGTACTTGTTTCAATGTACTCGGTTACATCCCAGCACTGGTAAATAACTACTTTATCTTCTGCCTTTTTTTATATTTGGACTATGAGTCTGACATAACGATTACACAGCAGACATTGGACAATAACAACACACAAAGAGGCTCAAATATAACGTACTTTTTTTTTTTTTTACACGCCATTAAAACCACCGGCCTATTTTTGTTGTATCACTTAATGAAGGTATAAAGGAAAGTAGCTGTTCATATATAACGTTAACGTTATATCTCATGGTGAAAACAGCAGCAAGGTTTCAGGCCCTGCGTACTACAGCTAGCTCATGCTAACACGCTAGCCGGGCTAGTTATTTTCCCTTCTTTCTAACGTTAAACTTAAAACATAAAACGTGACACTGGTACGAACAAAACGCGTACAGATAAATGGTCAGTTCCCAACCTTGTATGAAGGCAGTGTTTTGAGTTCAGAGCGGATCTTATCGAGGCTCTTCCAGAATCTTCCACCGCCTCTAGCATGGGCAAAGACCTGCTCCAGTGACGGCAACTTCTTGCGACGAGAGTCACCAAAACAACAAGCGTGGGCTGCGGCTCCGTCGCTCTGGTAGAAAATCGCTACATAGGATGATAAAATGCCGATTTGCTGGCTTGTTAGCGGGGAGGGGAATCATAGACCCATCCGACTGCCTCACCTACAGACTGTTGTGCTGGGTCGAGGCCCAGAAACTACTATTAAAGACAAGAAATGCTCTCGGCAGCAAGGTAATGTCAGGATGCGTTAGTGTTTGATACACTGGCTGCTGTTAGCAAGTAGCTTGCAACATTAAAACAAGGAACATGTAAGGAAGTGACATACAAGTTTATTCATAAATGTCACCCGGGTAAACATTATGAGACACAGTTTAAAGGTGATATTGGTGTGAAATGTTCCTCCTGCTTATTTGGGTTACAATCATTTCCAGTTTATATCATTTCAATGTAGTTTTAATTCAGTTTGCATTTGGTTTAGTGGTATGGCATTTAAACCATTTATGTTGTCAATATTTTTTTCTATATTCTGATCCTGACAGAGGGACTTTCAAAAGCTTGTGTGAAATAAAACAAATTCAAATGTTAAGAATGTGTACAACACCACATATAATACGTTTTCAGCAGTTCGTTCTCAAGTTTGAAAGTTTGAAAAGTGTCCTGAGATAACTTCTGTTATGAATTGGCTGAATTGAAAACATATAAAAGAAAATAGTGGACAATGAAAGAAAGAAAGTAATGGTATCACACAAATTCGTTATGTCGGAAAATGAACAGTGAACATAAAGACAGTAATTATATCTTCTAAATCTTGTCTTTACGTTCATAATATGTACATGCAGTCTGATTTGAAATGTACAGCCAGGTCAGAAGCAGAAATGAATTTCCTGAATACTCTATATTGAAGTTTAATAAAATCTCCTAGAAGTATTAAAAACTAACTTTAACCTGTGCAAAATGTTATCTCTTCTCAACCAGTTGAATTGAAAGCAGAATGCAACAAAGGTTATGTCAAAGTTAAACAGGTAAGAAACACAGATTTTGGACTCTTAAGGTATTATGAAGCAGTTGTTATGCTGAGTGTTAAATACCTTTAAATCTAATCTACTTTTGAATTTAAAAATGATTATTGTGTTAAGTCTGCCTGCAGTAATGATTACTTATTTACCACTCTGTGTGTCATCTCTATCTTTATTCCAAAGCTGGGCTTGAACCCGACCTCCATAGACTCTGTGGTGGTGGGTAAGGGCAATGAGGTCAAAATGAAGCCCGGACAGAAGCTTCATATTGTCAATCAGCTCTACCAATACACTGTACAGTTCAAGGAGGATCCCACCGGGGGCCAAGACCGCACCAAAAGACCACGAGAGCCGGCTTCAGTAGACAGAGAGAGCCACAGAGAGGTTCCGGGTATGAAAGCGGCTAAACAGACAGAAAAGGTGCCCACGTTGGTCAGCCATGGAGAAGCCACAAAAAGCAGTGTAAGAAAAGTGCATGTATATAAAATATTGTATTGTTTTGATGTTTTTCTCTTGAATCTAGAACATTTATGAGTGTTTATTATATTTTACAAAAGCATGTTACCTTAAATTTGTTACAGGGAATTGGACATTGGAGCCAAGGTCTGAAGGAGTCAATGCAAGACCCAAAGATGCAGGTAGCTATTGTAAAAATAAGATTTACAGTTTGGTGTGATGCTTATTGATCTAGATCCCTCCTTGATTTGTCACTGCAAGTCTTAATTATTAAGTCTGACTAAGAATATTAAAAATCACTGTCCTCTTTCTTTTGTAGGTGTACAAGGATGATAAAGTAGTGGTAATCAAAGATAAATACCCTAAAGCTCGCTACCACTGGCTGGTCCTCCCGTGGCAGTCCATTTCCAGTCTGAAGGCCTTACGCGAGGAGCACTGCGACCTGGTGAAACACATGCATCAAATTGCTGATCAGATGGTTCAGCAGTGCCCGGATGCTAGCTCGCTAAGCTTTCGCACAGGGTACCATGCTATCCCCAGTATGAGGTGAATAATCACTGTTTGAATTGTGCAACATTTATTTCTCTGTCTTTTCCTTTTAAATGGTTCCTGTCCTTTTATAATGTGTGTTTTGTATTTCCTGCTTGCTTTTAATGGATTATATAAAGCACTCTAAATTGTATTTTGTAGGAAATTTGCTATACAAATGCACTTGTATTGCCCTGCCTTACACATTACAGCCAAAGTAAAGCACTTTGCAAAAGGTAGGGGAGAGAGAGGGTATGCGATGCAGCGAAGGGCCCGGGACAGATTCAAACCCGGGCTGCTGCGATAAGGACTCAGTCTTGATATGTGATACATTCTCGTGTGCAGTGAGCTACCAGGGTGCTGAATTGTGTTCATGTGAGTCAGTCACCCAGTATCAGTCAGAAAAGCTTTGAGAAATGATTGGCAGCAATATAAAGTATGCACAATTTGCAATAAATGGGACTGGAAGAATTCAATCCTGAAGTTCACGTGGAAGAGAATCGGCACGTGTTTGATGTGGACACACAAAATAATTACAATTTTGTCTATATTCTCTTTTACAGCCATGTACATCTCCATGTGATCAGCCAAGACTTTGACTCTCCTTGTTTAAAAAACAAAAAGCATTGGAACTCATTCACAACCGACTATTTCATGGATTCCCATGGTGAGATCAACACTTGTATGAGTAGTTAGGTTCCACAGTATTACATTGTGTCCATTACTGCATGAGTTCCTTTTTTTTTTATATCTGCAGATGTCATTCAGATGCTTGAAACAAATGGAAAGGTCGCTGTCAAAGAAGGAACCAGTGAGATGTTAAAACTACCTCTCCGCTGTCACATGTGTCACAGAGAGCTTCCAACCATACCAGCTCTGAAGGAACACCTGAAGTCTCACTTTCCCCAGTTAAGAAAGTGACCTCAAGAAGGGTACAATAGGTTAGGACGTTTATGCATTCAACCTAGGACTGCAGTGTGCTAGGCATTTTTTTGTTGATGTTAATTTAAATTTATGTTCTCATAAAACTTGTTTCAAAAAATGTAATAATGTGACCGGAATACAATCTTCATCTATAGCTTTAGTTGCATTTTCAACTCGTCATTTTTTATTAGGTGTAAGAGGAAGGTCACTTATGTTAGATTTCAGTTTTCAGTTTTTTGTAATATGGCATCTATTGTTTCCACATGTTCAAACATGTTTAAGTATGTTGTAATAAATGTTTTCAAAGAACTGACTACTGATTTTTTTATTATTTTAAATTATAGCATGTCTTCCCTGATAGTACAACACCAGTGTAATTTTATTGTCATAGTCCAAATGTAGCTTTGATTCACTAATAGTTGTATATATTTTCAGCTTTTATGGAAGATTGTGGAAGATGTCAGAATCATGGTACTAAATTTTTTGCAACTGTGTATGAGTTTGGGAAGCTCGGTCCTAAATGAATCATAAAGACCATATGTTTATATGTCTAAAGAGAAGATGAGAAGCCTTCATCAAATATCAGACACCAGATTAGTTATCTTGGTTTCACAGGCCCTCTAAAAGCCAGAGTCGCAGGTGGTTAACTACAAAACTTTGGAAACTGAAAATTGGTTTGGAATAATGAATTCGCATGTCAGCCTGGAAACAGCTAAGTGTGATAACTGAGTGGGATGCTTTGGAGATTACCCATCTTATTCCATTCTGGTTGCTGTCAGATCTGATGCTTTGAAAACAAAAATAGTATAGTATGAACAAAATTCAGAAGAGTTGGAGTGTTTAGAACAATAATTTTTGTGCCAGAGAAAGTTGTTTATATTAGCACTAATGACAGTTGTTACTGAATCATAGTTGAAGTTTTATAAGTCAGCAAATGCTGAAGTTTTACACAGCTTGAATCTGTCTGAAATATTGCAAGGAGGAGTAAGAGTAGCCCCTGTACACCTATAATCCACCCACACACTTGTGGTTTCTTTTCTGGACTGTGTGGGTGTTGACAGACAGATCTTCATTGACATCTCCATCACTCCCTGATTGGTTGTGTTCGGACAGGGAAACTTAAACCTTTATCATCTTGATGACATTATGTAATTCCCAGCATAGTTCAGCATTATTTTAAACATCCATAATAAGTGAAAACACGTGAGGGTTTGCAGTGCCTTTGTTCCTCAGTGATCTATGAGTAAGCTCTGCAGCATGAACTGTGGACGTTGTCGCCATCTACTGTAAGTTTATTTTAACATAAGCAGGGCTACATAAACAACACTCCAGGACTTTAGCTTTGAGGTACGCCTGCAAATCACTTAGCGACTCATTGTCGAGGGAGATTAAATAGTCATTTCACAAGGATAATGTCAAGTCACAAAAGGAAGTGTGGCCCGTACGGGGATCGAACC